CCAGATAAACCACGCGCGATTGATTCTGGACCATCTGCCGGAGGACATGGGCGGGTATTGACAGATTGGACGGGTACAGTGTATGTATGTATGTATGTATGTATGTATGTATGTATGTATGTATGTATGTACCGTACGTAATGCATCCAACGTATGTCATGTATGTAGCAATATGTGTTGTGTGTAATGCAATGGGCTGTAATGTAACTCATCTTTACATAGATAAGTAAACTGCATATAGCCATGTCTAATCATACTTACAAGCAGGTGTTTGTATGGTCAGGGTCACATCAGTTCAAGCGCACACGAAGAGGCATGTATATGTGTAAGTATATATATATATATATGTACACATGTACACACATACATACACAAAGACAAGTGGGAGCACATGTGCCATGCATCCATGGCGACTCAGGTGCTGATGCAGGCGCACGTTCAGACACACATCCATCCATAAATGCACTATTCTTGCAAAGGCACACACACACACATCACCCACACAAACACAAACACGCACAACACATACATTTGTCCAGGCATGCTTATCTCCAGGTCTTTGTGTTTGTAAGCGGTGTACTCAGTGGTGTAGCAAACGATCACCCGGAGCCCCGAAGCCTTCAGTTCCACAACTCCCAAGCTCTGAACGGCTGAGGCCCGTGCATCACAGATCCTACCCCTAAACGCCAAGCCCTGCAAGCCCTGCAAGCCTTAGGGTTTAGGGTTTAGGGTTTAGGGTCTAGGGTTTAGGGTTTAGGGTTTAGGGTTTAGGGTTTAGGGTTTAGGGTTTAGAGTTTAGGATTTAGGGTTTAGGCTACATGCTCCGAAACCCGAAGCTCCGACCTCGATGCGGAGTCTCAGCCTTGTCTTGCGCAGGACCGCGAGTGGCTGGTGCGTTATTCGGCTGTTCAGGTCCCTCAATGGCGGGTTTACATGTAAAAAGTATAAATATAAATATAAATAATGAAATATATATATATATATATATATAAATATATATATATATATACAACGTGGTAAAGGACCTTTACTATATATAGGGCCCCTCGAGGGCTTCCTCTCATTTTGGAACCCAGCGAGCTGAAGACTTCTGAGTATTCGAGAATCGTAGGGGTTCATAGAGGTTTAGAGTTTAGGGTTTAGGGTTTAGGGTTTAGGGGTTTAGGGTTAAGGGTTTAGGGTTTAAGGTTTAGGGTTTAGGGTAAACGGGCACCGGGTATTGGGTCTTTGAGAAGACCTCATAGCTGCAGGCTGCAGTTCCGCGCTTAGACCGGCTGGTTGGTTTATTCGAGCATGTCGGGCTTGGGATTGCAGTTGGGCCGTTCGGGGGTGTGTATAGACACAAGGGGCCTTCTGGGAATAGGCAGAAGAGGGGTTTTGGATTATGGTAGGCTGTAATTATATAAGCTTCGTGTCCTTTCGTCACCAACTTGCCCTGAGAGGCGTTACCACAAGTCGCGCGGGCCCCGGTGAAACTCTCCAAGAGCGCTCGCACTCAGATGGGCTGAGAGCGTAAATACCTCCACTTATGTACCTATGTCTATGTTCGTTTCCACATACATGTATACCTTCAGCTTGTGGATGCTTGAGATTAAACTGCGATCCACACCTGTGAGTTCTGCGTAATCTGACAGCCAGAAAAGCCTAAAGTCAAGCCTAAACCCTCAAACCCCTATTCTAAACCCCTACACCCTAAACCCCGACACCCTAACCCCCTAGACCCCTAGACCCCTAAACCCCTAAACCCCTAAACCCCTAAACCCATCGTTTCCTTCACCGGTGCACCCTAAACCCTCCTTCACCCCTACACCCTAAACCCCTAAACCCATCGTTTCTAAACCCTAACTTTCACACAGCAAGCCTAAAGGCGACAAAGCCCGAGGCTCAAGCCCGAAGGACTTCCGAGCCCATCGAAAGTCGCTGCTCAACCTGCCACAAATGTTTCTGACTACTACTACTACTACTAC